TGTGTGTGTGTGTGTGTGTATGTGTTTGTGGTATGTCAAACAGCACGCATCCTGTGTGCTGCTTCCGGTTATTTCTTGTTATTATATTTCATTGCCTGCTACAGAGGCGGCATTCGCATTGCGAGAAACAAAAAGAAAATGAAAATGAAAACGAAAACGAAGCAAATTTTCGCAGAGTAAGTTTTCCGTTCGAAATGAGATGGTGCGAATGATGGATCGAGGGGCGCTGCTCGCCCGGCGGGGCATATGCCAACACTTGTTTTCTGTTAAGTGATTTAGGCAAAAGTTTTCACCCTTCGCTACCCGCTGGCTGCTGTCAGGCAGCGTTTCGTTTGGCATTCGTGTTTGGCATTTTGGTTAGACGACACGCTCGACAAGAGCATTGAACAGGAGATGGGGTGTGAGGCGGGGCTATGCGGTGTGTAGCTGTTTTTTGAAATATCGGAAATGTTTTACAAAACTTTTGCCAGCTATAAGTTGGCTCACTGAATAGCTGCCACATAATCGGCGTCAAGTGAAATTCATTTTCTTGACAAACAACATGAACTTCAAAGACCACGTTCCCAATTTCCCCGTCGCCCGCCCCTGGCCGCTCGCCACCTATACACCCCCTGCCCGGGTCGGCCCAGTTCCACGCGCTCATTGCTGTCTCTTCCGACAAGGAAATTGAAATGCTACGTGTGTGTGCAACATTTACACCTGGCGGGCCGCGGCCTGGCTTAGCCTATTAATTGTGGCTGCAAATTGATTTAACCGCCAAATTACAGTTAGTTGTTGTACGTGCAGCAGTCCTTTAATCCCCTGAGTATGATATTGTAAAATAATTGATCACAATTCGATGTTCATGCGATTAATTGTCTGCAAATATGTTAGCAAGCGAGAAAACACAATTGAATCTCTGCTGCTGCTGTTGCTGCTGTTGCTATTGTCATGTCATTAGTTGATTGCGAATTTCCAATCAATTTGTTTCTTATATGCTCTACTCTGTGCCATACTCCATATGGCATGCAGTGCGCAGAGGGGGGAGCTCGATATTGGTTGAAATATTTCAAAATATGCATTTGTGGACAGGGTATCATCGACTACCTACTCCTTTCGCTGGCCCTCCCCCTCCCACGGCAGCTTTTTTGTCAGCTCAGTCAGCTGCAAAGTCAGCTCCATTTAAATTTCGCTCACGTTTGCTGGCGGATGAACTGCAGAAAAGAAAGCAACGCGAATGGAAAAATCAACGGATACGGATGTGAGGTTCCCAAGCCCGAGACTCTGGCTGGCGCCGTCGCCTGCAATCAGATGCAATTAGAGCGTCAGAAAGCAAAACATTCAACCGTAGCTGAAATGACACTGAAATTCAATTTACAATAACAAGTAAAACAAAAGAGAAACAGAGAAAAAGTAAAAGAAAAAGGAACAGCAAACAAAACTGAAAAAGTGCAAGTGATTTTTAGTTAGTTTTTATTTCAGCTCCCATTCGGGTCAAGTATTCGGATGAGTGAGTGATTGAAGGCGAGGCCGAGATATTGCTCAGACGAGATGAGTGCGTTGACAATATGCAATCATCTTAATGTGCAGCATTTCACGTGATTAATTTCACTTTATTGACTTCACATTCGAGTGAAGTGCGCCCAAATGCCCGAATATGCCGAGCCTTTTCAGTTTGCTCCATGGCCCACTTGGCTGCCAGCTGAACTGATTCCGAGTCATGCTTGAATTATGCCTCAAGTGTGCCGGACTAAGATATTTATGGCAAACAAGCCTTGGCTTTGTCTCTACTTTCACTCGAGTTCACTCAAGACCAAATGAATTTCAATTTGATTTATTAAAGAATAAATAAAGAGTTTATTAAATTGCAATTTTCATATGTCTAAAGGCAATTTTTAAATTAATTTATAAAGCTGTTCTTTGAACATGGCAAAGAACATAATTTTATATGCTTGAAAATTATTTCTCAGAAAGCTACATGAATATATAAGAAATATTCACTTTTATAAAATAGTATACGGTTTCTCTTCCTAGAAAATAACACAAAGAAAGTGAATATAAAAATGTATACATAAAAATATATACATACAAAGCAGGCGCATTTCGATATTTACTAATTTTTTCATCAATTTTTTCCTCATTTTACAGTATCATAATTTACTAACTGCTCTCTATGTATGGATAATGTAGGATAATATGCAGTAAAATAATTGTTCATCTCGGTCTAGTAGTTTTGGAATCTTTTGAATACCAAGAAACCATCAATTCCTTCTGTATATAATATCTACTAGGCATTACAGTAATCGCAACTGTATTTTACAGTCTAGCGAATACAAGAAAATAGAATGGTCTAGATCAAACACCAAATTTGCAACTCTCCAACTGGAGTCCTTGGCTCTTTCTGCTCTTCTTCTTCGTTTTCTATCTGAAGGGCACTTATATTACTTTATATGTAGACATCTCGTTCCTCTACTCAGTTGCTCTCCCTCTATTCAGACAGCAGCGGTTCAGTAATTGTTGAGCTTTGCTTGGACAGGCGTTACTCTAGCTCGTCTCATTTACAGTTAAAAGAGTGTCTTAAGACATCCTCTGCGATTGCATTTGCATCCGCTGCTGCTGGCATTGAAATTGAAGTTAACGTTGGCATCGACGTTATTATTGTGTGCCCACACAGATCCGTGCTAGGCAACCGTCCCACACACTAATGAGTGGGCGTGTCAGCATTACCCAATACAAACGTGCATACATACATACATACACATATACGTATGCAAATATCTCATACATACTTTAACCAGCTCAGAAGGGCATAAATCAAAATGCTGCAACTTTGTTGTAGCCAGGGAGTTTTTGGTCGGGGAGTGTTTCGTGTGCTGCTGCGCTTAGTGAAACTCATGCCCACCATGGATTAGGCCAGGATGATATACGTTTCGCGCGCGTGAGCAGATTCCGCATCCAGCTTTGCGCCATAAAGGCAGCGGTAAAGGCAAAGGTAAAGGTATTTCCCGCCCGCCCTCGCCGCCCACCTTTTTATGACAAGCTGTCCTCCATTGCCGTTCCGGCGAGGGCACTCGCTGGCGTTGATTGTGTGACGCCAGTGCCGCATAAAGTCAGCGCCAGGTGGCGCCAATCTCAATGTGGGTTGCTGCCTCGCTCTCTCTCTCTCTCTCTCTCCCTTTCTCTCTCTGTGTGTGTGTGTATCTGCAGGTGTCTCTACATTAAAAGCCATAAAAGATTCATAAAATGCATTTCGCACGCCGAAACCAAATATGCCGCAACATTCACGACGCCACATCCATAAATACGAGCCATATACGGCAGCAAGCGCCCATACGGACATAAATTTTAAAGTTTGTAATGTGCAGGTGTTCATAAAATGTATTTACGAGCACCGGCTTGTGGCAATGTGAGCTGCGCAGATACAGATACAAGCAGATACACATGTGCGAGTGTTCCTTAAGAGGCTTTTCGTCCCAAATGATGGGACAGTTGCATTTTTAACCCTAATGAAAGCAGCTAAGAGCACTAAATAGCCAACCTTTCCATAATGCTAATATTTACAGAAACTATGGCCTCCTCCTATACGAGGTTCGCCTATCATTTCCCCATGCTTTCCGTTCCAGCTGCCAAGCGTCTGGAAAAACTTTATCACGTACGCGACATTTGGCAATTGCTGCAAAATTGTGCACAAATTATATCAATTTCGAAACGTAATCATTGAATCTTATCAATTTTCTGACTGCCTCTCCCCCCTGATCCTGCTCCCCGCTCCGCCTCGCGAACATGGCACAGACACATCCGGCCAGACGGAGACGCTGCAAAATGTGAAAATCAAATATTTATGATACTTTTGAGCACAAATTTTCTGGCCGTCGGCAAAAGCAAACTACAAATTTTCTTTTTACGCCCCCCGCTCCGCTAAGCTCTCTGGATGGATCCACGGTTTTGCCTTCGGATTTATGTGCGTGCCTTCTGAAAATTCAATTTAATTTTCAGTTTTTCTAGCATGCGCCATGAGATTCCCAATGCATGAGCCTCAAGTCGCGAATGCCTTGAATTTAGTTTTCCTTTTTTCTTTTCGCAGTGATTTCATTTCGAAGGTCTGCGCATTCAGCCAATTGCACATCTTTTTTTTTCAGTGGCTCTGCATAAGCTATACCAGGCTGATTGCAATCATACAGCTGAAGCTCAGTAGCTGCATCAAATCTTTGGGTTCAGATGATGATGACATCATAAAACCCAAATTCAGTGGATCTATCAATGAGTTAGTTAGAAGAAGAATTTCCTGAGGACGAGATGAATCGACTTAGCCCTCTGTCTGTCTGTCCGCCCATCCGTCTCTATCTATTTATARCTATCTTAATCACAGATAACGACACCAAAAAAGTTTGCATTACAAGAGTATCATTTATGTTGGAACTCACCATGCATGAACGCGTCGATCTCTGAATCTATATGAAAACCTAGAGACCTGAAAAATTCTGGAGGTCTTTATAGAGCACGCGCAGATCAATTTTATTTATTTTTTATTAAAGTCATTTTAAAATATTTGTTAAAACAGTTTGTTGATTTCCTAAACATTAACAAAATATTATGCTAATGCTTCAGACCAGAGGACTCACATGGTCAACTCTCTCAATCAGGAATATATGGATACGCTCGCTGTCTGTGTGTCTAGCTGTATCTGCCACGCCGTTGAGCTCGTTGTATGCATAGCTATTGTGACATACGAAGCAATGCAAATAAGTGCATTAGCATAAGCAGCGGTCCATCTGAATTCGGTCGTATTGATAACAAGAATGTGGCAAGTGCTGGCCCGGCAAAGCCAAGTGGAGCTGTCGGGGCCATCTGACACTTTAAGCCAGAGAAAAGCAACTCGCCTGACCGCCTCGATGTAAAGCATTTGTACATATTATTCCAATCGGGCCATTTTATGGGACATGTACTCGGATGCCTTGGCTACACATAGATAAGCCCCAATTGAAGTTGCATTTGCCAGTTGAGCGATGCACGCAATGTCTCATGCCATTGGGTGTGGCAGCAGGAGCAGCAGCAGCAGCAGCACTCAGTGTCGTCCTGGTTGTTGTCCTTGTCGTTCTGTTGGTTTTGGCTCTGGCTCCGCAGTTTGAAGATGCTGCAATGCATTATGCTAAAATGTCATTGCGTGCTTATTGGCGTTACGCCCGTCTCTGTAGCTGTTGGCGATGCATATTGCCATCCGGATGAAACAGCGACTTATGCTAAACTGACAGCCAGCAGCAACCAGCCACAGCCAGAGACAGAGTCAGAGCGAGAGTCAGAGCGAGAGTCCTGCCGGAATGCTCGTGGAAAATTGAATGGAAGCTCGTTTATTTTGTTGCCATTTGCCATTGTGGCAAAGAAATTGACGCTCCATCGAGCGCTGCTGCGACAGGATTTGTCAGTGTCGTCGGGCGTGCCAAAGTTGCCAAGTTATAAATGCCTGGCAATCGCAACACAAAGGACATCCCCAGCACCAGGCTTTACCGCAAGCCCAACACTCTTGCCAGCCACTGTATGGGACTGTCATTATCGTTTGGCTTGCTCGCAATTACACATGCCATTGACACAGTTACCTCCATATGGTCGGGATGCCKTYYT